GACCCACGGAGATAGCCTCTTCCCCAGGTGTTGGGGCCAGGGGCGTCCCTGCTCCAAGCTGTGTCCGCCCCTCTCCGTCCCCGGGCCTGTCCACTCCTGCGGCCCGCTGCCACAGGCCCACCTGCATCCACTTGTCTCTGCCGCTGGGCCTGTATGTCCCCGTCAGCTGCCGCTGGGTCTGTCTGCCTCTGCGGGCCGCCAACGGGCCTGTATGTCTCTGCCGGCTGCCACCGGGCCTGTATGTTTCTGCCGGTTGCCGCTTGGCCTGTATGTCCCTGTCGGCCGCTGCCACTGGGCCCGTCTACCTCCACAGGTTGCTGACCTGCGTCCGCCTGTCTCTGCCGCGTGGCCCGTCCACCTCTGTGGGTCGCCACTGGGCCTGAATGTCTCTGTTGGCCGCCACCTCCGGGCCTGTCCACCTCCGTCTGCTTATCTCTGCCGCAGGGCCTGTCCACCTCTGTGGACCGCCGCTGGGCCTGAATGTCCCCTTCTGCTGCCGCTGGGCCCGTCCACCTCCACGGGCCGCCACCACAGGCCTACCTGCGTCTGCTTGTCTCCGCCCGCATTCGCATTTTCAAAGGCCAAAGATTCAATTATTATCTTACTAGCTTCTGAATCCGATACCATTCTCTTTACTGCTGAAGTCAGTCTTTGTAAAAAATCTTTGAAAGATTCTACTGGGCCTTGCATAAGCTTTGTAAATGACTCAGGTTTTTTTCCTGGTTCCTCAACTCTGTCTCATGCATTCACGGCTGCCGTTCGACATAAAATTTGGTTTGGACATCATATAAACATTGTGTTTGTACTGATGCATATTGGCCTTCTCCAATAAGCTGATCCTGGCAAACTTGTATTCCTTTATTTCTCCATTGTTTTTCTATGTTTTTCGCTTCATCCTTGAACCAAGTTAGCCACTGTAACCTCTGGCTGGGTTCCAGAAGAACTTGTGCCAGCTCCCGCCAGTCCTGTGGTACAATCCTATTATATGTTGACCAAGAGTTTAACATTTGTTTTACATATGGGGAATGCATGCCATAAGATACTATTGCCTCCTTAAACCTTCGTAAATCCAACATTTCAATTGGAACCCAAATATTTTGTGTAGTCATTTGATCAGGCAACTGCTGTACATTTACAGGATAAATAAAGGGTGACTGTGTGAAAACAGGCTTTCTTTCTGTAACCTTATGATCCAAACTTGAAACAACTTCACTGTTAATTTCTTCTGTCTGAATTTTTACAGGTTTAACAAGTTTTTCTAAAGCTGTCATCCTGGCACTTAAATCGACTATCTTTTTAAATAGTAAAATGAGGATAAGCATAGTGATAAACTACATATTTCCAACAATACTAATCTTCTCATATAGTTGTTCCATTGTCAGACTGCCTAAAATTTCAAACAAAACCCAATTTGCATCCAATGTACACATAAAACCCATTTTTTTTAATGTAGAAAAAGTTTCTCTTTTAAACAGTTTCCTTTAAAATATTTGATATGTTGTGACTTACCAAATCTGCATAGAACAGTAGAAATCTGAGGGGATTTTCAAAACAGTCACCTAGTGTCTGAGGTGTGAATCCAGAGAGAGAGAGAGACAGACAGACAGACAGACAGACAGACACCAAGAAAGCATAGCTGGCTAAAGCTTAAATCCAGCCATGTATTCCCTCTTGAACTGAATCAAGGCTTGGCTCTGGCTTCCTTAAGCTCCCACCACGTGCGTTGGCTTTACAGGCAGGGGCCCTGTTCAGCAGGGCAGGCCTGAGTTGTTTGTAGCACTGGCTTTAAGCAAGCAGCTCACAGTTAGTCCGGCCTGAGGCCAAGCAGACCTGGACCCAGGCTAGGGAGCCAACCGCTCGGACTAGGGAGCCAGCTGCCCAGGCTAGGGAGCTGGCCGCCCTTGCAGGAAACCGGACCTGCCGCCAAGCCAACCGGTTTTTAATGGATTCTTGTCACATTGAGTGCCAGATATAGATGTAGCCAATTGTCTTAGTAAATAAGAAACACAGAACCAATGTAAAAGAGAAAGCCGAGAGGTCAGAGCTCAGAGCTAAAATCTCACCCTTCCTCCTGTGGTGCTCCTAGCTCCCTGAAAGAGACCTACTTCCTGTGTGTATGTCTTTACATAGTGTTTCTGTTCTGCCTTCTCATTGGTTGTAAACCCAAATACATGACTGCCTCATCACTGCCTGTAAGTACAGCCCTCCAGGTCTTCAAGGCGTATGTCTCCAATGCTGGCTGTATCCCTGAACACACAGAGATCTATGGGATTAACCACCACCGCCACGCTCTTTCTATGGCTCTAATAGCTCTGACCCCTGGGCAACTTTATTTATTAACATACAGTTAAAATCACATTTCAGTACAAATAGAATACCACCATACAGGGGTGGTGGGAGTGGTCAGAGTGCGTAAAGGTAATTGGGATCAGAGATGTTATGGGAATGGATTGAGGTTGATGAATGTAGTTTATCGTTTGTGTCTGCTGGGTGTGCTTCCCATGGTAATACTAAATGTGGTGTGAAGAATTCCTGTTAGCCAGACGTCATTGCACAAAGCATCCAGTGGTGTGAGCAGGGTAGAAGAACATCTAGAAGGAGCTGCCCAGAATAGAGGGAAATCAGGAGCTGTGATGTGACACCATGGTTTGTCAGAAGACCCATTGTGATGGTTAATTTTAATTTTTAATTTCACACAATCTAGAATCATCTGACTGAGGCCTCTTTATGTCTGTGAGGAAGAATATTGGATGTTGTAGTTGATGTAAGAAGGCATTGCCACTGTTGGTTGGCAGGCACCATTTCCTTCACTTGTCATTCTGGACAGTATGAGTATAGAGAGGGCGAGAGAACTAGTATGCATATATTAATACATTGCTCTGTGCTCTTGAGATTGGATATAATGTGACTAGTTCTATCAAGCTCCTACAGTCTTTGATGTCCCTCCCTTCCTTCCTCCTCCCATTTCTTCCTCTCTCCCCTCCCCTTCTCTCTCATCCCCACCCCATTTAAAATTAATTAAAAAAACAACAAAACTTATTAACCTTAGGGAAGAGCCAACCTGAATATGCCAGCCTTACTGACAGCTTTGAGTATGAAGAGATATTTTTGTCACTTGTAATTCAATTATAGAGCACTACTGTACCTGCAAAATTCAAAAATGAGACATGAGGGCTTGAATAAAGGCTCCAGAAAGCCACTTATTTGGGGTAATGTGTCGCTGAGTTAGATTTTTTATATGGAGTGCCCAAGAAGGCTGGGTATGAATCTGTGAAGTTCAAACTATTTTGTGGTACAGATCCTAGGATATTTCACAATGCCACCAACCAGAGATATACCCCCAAGAAAAGCTGCAGGTATGATATAGAGGTAGTTGAAAGGCGAAGCTACAGTTGCCACAAGGAACTCTATTGGAAGGATGGGGCATCTCAAACATATTGTATGTAAGTAGTGTCATCATGAGTCCTAGTTACTGGAGAAGTAACTTCAGCCTTTGTTGTTTGCCCCACTTGGTTTCATTCTTGCTAAAGTCTAGTTTGTCTTCCTCATGGAAGTTGCTTTAGTCAGGTATTTAGCATAGCCACCAAACATAACTCATATTCATGCCCTGTGTTGTAGTTATTGGCTGGCCTTTCAGCTTTCCCAGAGCCACCTGGGGTTAAAGACAGAGTCAGAGTTCATGTTTGTGGTTAATATTTTGACAGCTTAAATGAGATGGCTGATAATGCCCATCTCCGTTCTGCTCTTTAATTCCTCGAATGGTATCCCCCATGGAGCCCTGAGCTGCTCACTGGTCTCTTTGGCCTGCTCTCAGGTTGACTTTAGTACTCTAATCCATTTCAGAAGAACAGTTTACACTCTGAACCATAATTTGTCAATCTGAAAGCTCTGACTTATTGGTCCATTGGGGTACATTTCTTCTCTTTTGCCATTTGCCATTGTTTTCTAGCTTGGGGGCAGGGGACTCACTGTTTACCTATTTGAGCCAATAACCATTGCAAGCATCTCTAAAATGTAATTGAAAAGACTCTTAATGGCCTCCAAATGATGATAGCTACATAAACCAATTAAAAAGACTTTAATAAAACTGTCTCAAGTTATTCTCCGTGGCTGCAGGCAGTGCCCTTTGTTTTCTATGATGCCAACAAGAAATCAGGATGATTTTTCTCTCCTGTGAGACTACAAGACAAGAAGGCTTGCTTCTGTCTGTATGATAGTTCAATCTCTGTTCCTTTTCTCTCAGACCATCCATGTGGCCATTGTCTGTGCCGGATACAACGCCAGCAGGGATGTTGTTACCCTGGTCAAGTCAGTCCTCTTTCACAGGTAAGAATAGTCTTTGCTGTACTCTCCTGGCTTTGTATGTCCCTGACCACCTGCATGTTGCCCTGAAGAAGGTTAGATAAGAGCATGCTTTTTCACCCATCATTCAGACTGCCATGAAAATTAATTTTTGTCCAAAATAGTAAGGATATTCCATTAAGCAAGCTTAATATCAGGAGTTTGGCATTGCCCAGCCATGCTTAGATTTGTAGCTTTCAGAACTACAGGAGCCTTCAAGGACATCCCCACTTAGATGCTCCAGTTTGTGCTACCCTACAATCACCAGCTCTTTTTCTATATTCCTGTTGGCAGATTATGTTGTGATTTACACTATATTCCACCTAAAATTCCTATTTAAAGTCCTAACCCTTGGTATTTGAAATAAGACTATAGATAAACTTTAAAAGAGAAGATTAAGTTAAAGTAGGCACACTGTGGTGGACCCTAATCCAATATGGCTAGTGTTAAAAATATAAGATTAAGACAGATACATTCAGAAGAAAGACAGTACCTAGCCAAGGAACTTGACCTCACATATTTTAGACTTCTATCTCCTAGAACTGTGGCGAAATGAATTTCTGTTTCCAGCTAGCCAATCTGTTTTAGTTTGCTATGGCACATTGGGTATTATAAAATAATACCCCAGATTGACTTGCCCCTTTTCTGGGTCCTTTGACTGTCAGAAATCATCCATTATGTTAGGCTAAAGATGCTATCCAGTAGACCTTGTATATCTCCATGAGACCAGGTATAAGTCTGGTTCTCTTCCGCTGGGAAGTGGAGATACCTCTTAGGTGTCATCTCTTCTCTATGCTTCTGCTTTCTCATGAACCTTTCTTCCTTCCCTTCAATATTCAGGTTAATTGCCCACACATACTTAATAAGGTCACATACAGAATTGAGTCTACAGTTCCAGTTAATACCCTTCTTGACCCTGCTCTGACTTCTCTTCATGGATTTGGATAAAGTTCACCTATATTTACAACCAATAATATAGGCAAACACATATGAAATGATTGAGTTAGGATCCTGAACATTCTCAGCAGAAGGAACACTGTTGAGAAGAAATTCTCAGTTCAGCTGAGTAGAGAGCACAGTATAGTCATTGGAATTCACCACTCAGACCCACCAACACTGCAAGACTGTGTATAAATCATTTCTCCCACCTGCTTTCTCAGTCTCCCAACTAACCCTTCTCTCTGCAGCACCTTTCAGCTCTCCCTCTTGGAGATATTTCAGGTTCTCTCCTGTCCATCTAGCTCAGGCCTACTGGTCGCTAACCTGCATATACTCTTCCTGGTTCTAGGATTTCTGTTCTTCATATCCATCTTTTCTTACTCATCAGGGGCCAATGTATTCTTCATAGTGTTTTCTTACCTGTCCCTGTGATGATATCATGCCTTGACACCCTGGCCGGTTTGTCCCTCCTCTCTCCATCATATGTCCTGCTACTCTGTCAACCTACTCCTTCCCCAATCCCAAGCCATCGATTGCCTTCTTACCTTATAGGATTTCACACACTACCTATGAGAGGAAGCCTGCTTGCAACTCTCAGTGCAGGTTTAAGCTCCTAGTCTATAGCCCATAATACCTTGCTTACCTTTTTTAAAAATCATACTTACTATGTTGATCTCTATGTATTCATTCATGATTCCTTCTGTTGCAGAATACAGGCCTTTTGGAGAAAGAAAACATGACTTATTTTCTCTGTATTTCACATATCATTTGTTTAGTAAGTGTTCTTGGGGGAGTCCTTTAGTAAGTAACCTGAAGATACATATTTTCAATCAGTTACCTAAGATACAAATTTAGATTCAATTCACATTTACATTCATGTCACTGTTGTACCAAGAGGCCTTCAGCAAGTTCCTTTAACCCTTTGTTGCTTTGTTAACTTTTGCTGTGGATCAGGTCACTCCCAATCTGACTTCGTTTTCTGTGGCATGTCTTTTGTGCTGGTCCAATTATGTAGCTGGAGTCAGCTGGCCTGTTGACAAAAGATCACATTTCTTACTTTCTAGCATCAAGGACAGAGTTGGAGAATGTGACTAACAAAGCAAAATATAACAGTATCAGTTAGCAACAGGGGCTGGCAACTCTTCCTGCCCCTCCTGCCCCTTTAAATCTATGATTTCTGTTGTATAAGGTAAGAGGTCATAGGAATGTCAGGTGGAAATTGGCTGAGTCTTCTCATGTGAAGCCAAGTGCCTTTTCTACATGACCATATTCACTGTGCAGTTTCTGACACTTGTGGTTTCCACACCCTCATTGCTGCCTGCAGTCAGGTGCTATGAACACAGCATGAGTCAAATGAGAGATTTCCAGCCATGATGTCATAATTCCTTGTCTCCAGGGCAATGGAAAACCTCTCCCTGATGGAGTCCAAAGGCCCGTTTTTTTAGGAAAGGCTGTTTGTATGATTAAAGATATTATTTTTTCTATGTCTCAATCATGATCAAATTTTTAATCTCTGGTATTGTTTTTGAGCAAAGGTTTCCTTACTGTTGCCTTAGTTACAAGTCACATAAACTGGTAGTTGTTGAAATTGTAAGAATCTTATTGAGAATAAACTTTTTATTCCAACAGTCTGTGCAGCACAAAGATGTTCAATTTAAAATAGCAGTTTTAGTAGCAGCTGTGGAAGGCATATCATTCTTCTATGGAGATGTGCACATTTAAGAAGAGAGCTTGTTACTAATGTGTATAATGAAGATAAAGACTGAACCATGGCAATGATTACTTGGCTCTGCTGAACCGGGTGACCCCTGGAGTTCCTTCCTCACCTTGAAGTGATACAAATAAGAATGATTATAAATTGATTTACGGCTGATAGTCATTTGGACATTAAAGCAAAAGGATGTTTGAAAGACATTAAGCTGAGAAAGTCCAACTATAAATAGCTTTATGGCTCCAAAGTCTGTTATGGGGATTAACTAAGACATGATTATAAAATATGTTGACAAATGAAGTACCTTCCTAATGTTAATAATAATAGAATAATAGTGGTTCAGAATGCTTCCTTTGGCTTTCACTGTTAATTACAATAATTAAGTTTATTTTCCAGACAAGATTTTCAACAGATTTTCATTTAAGGCCTTCTTTGTTATGTCAAAATCAATTTTACTTCTATAATATGTTTGGTGACAGTGGACATGCTGTATTTTAAAGGATAGTAAAAGACTGACATGAACAGTAACATACCAGTGTGGCACTGAATATTCTCCAACCTCTGGAAAGGAATTTCAGAATATCTGCCAAAGACCTTTACCCCACATGGCTACTGAAGGTTCCATGTCTTAAAAGGATAACTTAAATGCTTTTATTCTTTTATTTTTGTGATTATAATATAATTTTCCTTTCTTCCCTCTAATCCCTTCCATATACTTTCTCTCTTTGAAATTGATGACCTCTTTTTTTATATATATGTGTATACATTCATTCTTAAATATAATATCTGTCTATAGCCAGGCGGTGGTGGCGCACGCCTTTAATCCCAGCACTCGGGAGGCAGAGCCAGGCGGATCTCTGTGAGTTCGAGGCCAGCATGGGCTACCAAGTGAGCTCCAGGAAAGGGGCAAAGCTACGCAGAGAAACCCTGTCTCGAAAAAAAACAAAAAAAGAAAAGAAAAAAATCTGTCTGTATAACCATGCAGTTGGATTTTTCTTTGGGCTGCTAGCTCATAAATAATGACACAGAGATTTATTATTAGTTATCAAAGCTCAGCCTTAGCTTAGGTTTGTTGTTGTTGTTTTAGCTTTGCGCCTTTCCTGGAACTCACTCTGTAGCCCAGGCTAACCTTGAACTCACAGATCCGCCTGCCTCTTTCTCCCAAGTACTGGGATTAAAGGCGTGCGCCACCACCACCTGGCTTAGGTTTGTTCTTAACTAGTTCTTATAACTTAAATTAACCCCTTTTTAAAAAATCTGTGTTCTGCTACATTGTGCTACCTCTCTTCTGTCTTGTACCTCCTTTCTCCTCTTCCTGTCTGGCTGGTGACTTTGTCCTTCTTCATCGAGTCTTCTCTGTTCCCAGAAGTCTGGCCTAACCTCTTGTTAGCTATTGGCCATTCAATTTTATTACACCAATTGCAACACTATGTTTTCACACAATGTACCAATATCCCACAACCTAACCAAACTCTTCTTGAAATCTTGCTTATAGTCATTCTAAAAGTAGCAACTAGGTTGGGAAAGGGAACATAGGATTTCCCAAGGCAAGGAAGCCAGCATGGGTTTTGCCTCTGCTTTTGCTTTAGATTTGTGGGAACTGCAGATCTAGGCAATCATCATATATCTTTGAACATTGGCTCTACTCTCCCCAACAACCCCTACCCAGCCATAGTGCCCTGTTTAGAACATGCAGAGATATATTGCTGTTTTCCTTTTCAACAAATACTGCTGTCACTCTTACCCTACACCAAATTATGTTCTAAATGTTGTCAAGATACTAAAATGCCCAGTTCTATGCCTGCTGAAGAAATGTACTGTTGCTAACCCCTAGTACATAGACAATACAACTGAAGTCCAAGATGGCTAAGTCATTGCTCAAGATCACATGTTCAGGAGGTAGACAGAGCTAAGTTTAAGCTCAGTCCTTTGGCTTCTGAGTCTTTACTCTCCACAGACAACAGGGAGTTTCCTGCTTTTAATATCGTTATCATTACTTTTAGTTTTCATCATTATTTTTGGTGTAGGTGTAGATACTGTTTTCATTGTTCCAATGCTGTTATCATCTTCCTCCCCCTAAGATTTGTACTTGTGAGGTGCTGAATGTTGCATACACAAAAGATTTAAAAGCCTGAGCATCCATGTTCCTAATAAAATTTAAGACAGTATGGACACATGATGCCTTTGAACATATAGAAGTCTGTAGAGAAACTAAGGGAAATATTTTTTTCCTCAAATGTTAAACTTCATGTGGGATCTTGCATGTGAATTCTATCCCTACTCAATAGGTACTTCTATCACCATAACTCTAGAGAAATTTAGGCTTAGAGATGTTAAATGGCTCATTCATTCAATGTCATGGTTGAGTAGATGTTAGTTCATCAGTTCTAGTCTTCACTCTGTGTGATGTGGCCTTTTGATTCTTCTAGAAAGTTGTTCTCTTCTCTTTTATCTGATAAAGAGCTTTATTAAGTTACCCTTGAATTGTTCCATTTTATGGAGGCCATTTTGCATCCTCCAATTCAAGGACGCTGTGACCCCAGATCCCTGCTACTAAGATTTTCTGAAATAGTTGTGTCAACTATTCACCAAAGGACGGCCAGTGCCATCACTGGCTCTTTTCTTTGCCTAAAATTGATGTTGTGTTGTAAACTTACTAAGTAAAGATTATCTCAGCTCCAATGTCCTTTAGTGAAAGCAATCCTTGCATTGCCTTGTGGGAGCTTGGACACTTTCCTGACAAGATAAGGAGAGGCCAGAGAGAAGCAATGGTTTAATTATTTTTGCTTTCTGTTCTGCTATATTTATTGAATCCTGACCTTGAATACAGGAGCAGTTTAGGAAACAGGCAATTGAAGTGTTGCTAATTAAAAGTGTAGTCTGCAGGATTGTCTGGAGATGGAACATTTCCTTGCCTCTATGGCAATACTGGTACTCAAATGAGGCTACTGGGTTTTAGGATATGGACCAAACCACCTGTCTAGGAAGAGGCCTTTTCCCATTTCTAAGCCTATACTTTTCCAAACACACACACACACACACACACACACACACACACACACACACACGATATATATATATATATATATATATATATATGTATACATACATATAACTAGTGACTGGTGCAAAAAATTCTAGCTTAGATATGATACCATTATAAAACTAAATAGCCTTAAATTGTATATTGAGAAGATTATCCCTTGTGCGTGAGTTTTTATTAACTTCAGTTTGCAACATTCACTTTGCTGTAAATGCGTTCTTACATCTAGCCAAATGGTGCTCCATTTCCTTAAAACAAAAGAGAAAGCAGAAGCTCACAGCCTCTGGCAGGTTGTGGTATTTGCAAGCCTCTATCATTAAAATTCATTCTTACCTTCCTGAATTAGAAGCCAAAGGTAAAATGAGACTCAAAAGCTACCTGTGTAGAACATAAAATCATTTCCTTTATTAGTTAATCTTGAGCTATAGATCTTCATTAACCATGAGCATCATCAGGCTGTTTCCTGTGATCTTCAGAACTGGGCATACCTCCTGGTCACACCCCAGCCTGAACATGTGCTCCCATTTTGTGAGCTAAGTGTCATTCAGGCCAGTGTTCCCAGTGCAGTGAAGGATCTAGAACATTTGAGCATACAGGCTAACCCACTCACACACTCAGAGAGTAGACTAACCTTCCATTTTCAGACAGCAACTATTTGTGTGAGAATATTCCTATAATGTAACTGTACTTTGAAAGGGAAACATTCAGTATTGCCAATAAATTTGACATTATTTAGCTATCACCACTTTTGAATATTATGCCCTTTTCATTGCTCCCCAAGGATGCTCCCATATCTATTATTAGTCACTCACATCACCAGTTATTAATCTCTTCTCTGTAGATTTGCCTAGTCTGAACATTTTGTTGCCATGTATATCATGTAATATTTAGTCTTTTCCCTGGCTTCTCTCCCATCTAATGAAGTTTCATGGTTCTTCCATGATATAGCATGTGCTAATACTTCATTCCATTTTATTGTGTACTAATGTCTCCTTGTATGAATGTATTGTTCTGTGTCTATCATTTGTTGATGGCCATTTTGGTATTTACTACTTCTTGGCTATTAGGAGTGACTCTACTAAGAATAAATATGTATAAGCTTTTGTATATATACCTGTTTACTTTTTATTTATTGTTCTTTGACAATTTCATATATGATTATTTTAATATATGTGTATTTTAATCATATACAGCCAATTTATCCTATTTGCCTTGTCCCTGTCTCTTGCTGAACCCCTTCTCAACAAAATTACCTTCTATTTTTAAGAGAGGAGTTAGTACCACAAAAGAAGTAAAGGCAATTTTTACAGTAGCTCATGAGCCAGTAAAATTGAAAGTGCCTACAAATCAATAGCCTACAAAATAAGTTAAAAGAGTTGGAAATGGCCTAAGAGACCAGAATATATGACCACTGCCCTAATTGGATGAGTAAAGAATGATCACTTCCTTGGTTTGTCTAAGGAAACATGGTAAGATGGTATATGCAGCTTACTGGCTCAGCACATGATATACTCAAAAATGATCCATTGTTATAAAGATCTCCTAAGTCTCCATCCAGTTCCTACTATAATACTCATAAAAGGTCACTTGATGGGGCAAAATGAAGTTATTCT